CATACAGTCTGGTACCGCTTGTGGCCCACAATTTGCTTGGTTCGCTTGTGGGTCGCAAGTTTATAATACGTTCCGTTGAGTACCATACAGTCTGGTACCGCTTGTGGCTCACAATTTGCTTGGTTCGCTCGTGGGTCGCAAGTCTATAATACGTTCCGTTGAGTACCATACAGTCTGGTACCGCTTGTGGCTCACAATTTGCTTGGTTCGCTTGTGGGTCGCAAGTTTTATAATACGTTCCGTTGAGTACCATACAGTCTGGTACCGCTTGTGGCCTACAATTGCTTGGTCCGCTTGTGGGTCGCAAGTTTGTAGTACGTTCCGTTGTATACCATGCAGTCTGGTACCGCTGGTGGCCCACAATTCGCTACGTTTTAAACCATACCGGTTGGTCGCTTGTGGGTCGCAAATTGTAATTCGTTCCGTTGTGTACCATACAGTCTGGTACCGCTTGGGGCCCACACTTTGCTACGGTTTATACCATACGGCATGGTATCGCTGGTGGGTCGCCATTCGCATTACGCAGGTTAAGGCTGTTCCTTGGAGGGGTGATGGTTCATCACCCTTGGTGGTCTGCTCAAGATACCACTGGCATGGATCTTAACCCGAGTCCAAGTAACAGTAGTACCAGTAGTCGTTCCAGGCCACCCTTCGGTCACCCGGGCTAACACCTCACCATCCAAACGGGTAAGTATGGTAAATGAAGGTGTTAAATGAGGTTATGCAATAACAGAGGTTAACAGCTAGGGAACCAAGCCTCGTTACGTCGGCACATCATGTGACCAAAAGGGGGCCGGGCGAGTATGTAATAAGAGGTTGGCCGCGCATTGGTGGTATTAGTAATCATTGTGCGTTGGAAGCGTTGTAAACGTATTAGGAACAAAGATTTTTTTTTCTCTCCTGTTCTTTTATATTTCCACCAATTGTTAATTGGTGTGAAGGTGTTAGCCCTGCGGGGGTGGTCTGCTCAAGATACCACTGGCATGGATCTTAACCCGAGTCCAAGTAACAGTAGTACCAGTAGTCGTTCCAGGCCACCCTTCGGTCACCCGGGCTAACACCTCACCATCCAAACGGGTAAGTATGGTGAACGAAGGTGTTAACCTATACAAATTACCCCCAAATTTGATGTTTTTCGCTTACGATTGCTCTACGATTATATTGGTGTTCAGTTACCCTCGGTATAGGAAAGAATAAGCCTTTAGACGTCTTTTGAATGTACTTTTATGGGGAAATAATTTATAATTCTTAATTCGAATGTCACTTTTGAGTTTTCGTTTGATTATGGGCTATTTGTTAGAATTTGTATGGGAAATTCGCCTCGCGCGTGGTGTCTGTTGAAGAAAACTGGCACTAGGACCTTCTGCGCAGGTCTTTGACTCCAGTTACCGCCCGATTCGAAGTTTTCGTGAAATTTGGCGCATTTTGATAGCAAATTCATGTTTATTCATGGAGATTTAGGAATGTCAAAATGAGCGCAAAGATTTGGGTTTTGCTTGTGTTTACAACCTCATTAATAATTCACTTGCTCGGCTGCAGGGGATGGCGAAGGGACGTCTCAGACTCGATCTCGACTCTACCTTATATACCTTATATGTCTTACATTGTACACCAGATAAGTATTGAACATTATTGTAATGATTTTATGTTTAGTTATAGTATATTGCCTCATTATAATTGAAGATTACGCTTGGGAAATGCTGCTTAGTAATATACGTTATTCTGATTAATACCGTTTAACATCAAAATACAAACGACAAGAGGATCAAAGTTATCATTTGTGCTTGGCCAGTGTTGTCAATCGTATAATTCATAAAATGCGTTGCCTCGTTTACTCGATACCAGGGGCGGCGGAAAGTCGATAATTGGGGGGGCTGATATTCATATATTCGTGTTCACAGACTGTAAAAACAATCGCTTTCAAAGGAAATAAATGATGCAGAACATGAATATATGAATATCAGCCCCCCCAATTATCGACTTTCCGCCGCCCCTGCTCGATACATCGTACTCGATTTATAAGCCAAACGGTTTGGTGCTCGAAGACGAAGCGTGCGCTTTGGTCTCGATCTACGCCATATAATAATAACAATAATAAACTTTATTTAATTTAAAGAAGGTATTTATAATACAAAACCACTAAACCAGTTTAGCACAGCTAATCTTTAATATAATGGGCCTCAATACTAGGCCTTAAAATGACGCGCGTCTGTAATTTCACATTAAGCGGACTGGACACTAGTTTGAGCAAATGTTTATATAGGGCGAAAGTTTGATATCATTATTCAGTGTAATGAATGTTTTCTTCGCTCAAACTATCCCTTTAATGGTGAAAAAAATATGGATTTGATTTATAAATGTGTGTTTACTAAACGTGACCATTTTTATGAAAAATGTTGAGCACTGATGCACTTCTGCTCCGCGCATCCTATAGTGCTTTTAAATGACCGATTAAATCAAGTATTACAATTGCTTATATTACATACTCTGCCTAGACAATTTATCCTTACAACATTGTGACGTACATTACTTTCCTAGTTATGTTTATCCAAATCACCCCTGCCTGTCCCACGATTTTCGGCGGCACAGCGTTGACCCTTTTCACGAAATACAGCCAAGTCAATAGTCATAATAACTAACAGTATAATCTAGGGTAATAATATTATAATTACTTCGCACTGCATAGATGGATAGATAGATTTATTTAACCACGCTAACCTCGTCAACTACAGCTGATTTCCACGAGGGGCGTGTGAACAAGAAGTATACAGCAAATATGAAAAGTATTTAAAAGCTATTTAAAAGTAGAAAATATAATATAAAATATATTAAGTATATGAGATAATAATGTATTTACAGATGCATATCTTTGCTTTAATTATCAATGTGAGCAGCGATTTTCGTCCGAAATGAAGAAAGGGATTTGCTCTCTTTAATTTCCTTTGGAATAGAATTCCAAAGGAATGATCCATCGTACATAAAACTTTTTTTGAAATTATTAGTCCGCGGTTGCGGTAAACAAAGAGTACTTGAAACGTTTCGAAGATTATAGCTAGTCATCTCACTTTTATAAGTGAATAAGTTAGTGAGTGATTGAGGGCCCATGTTATTTAATAATTTGTACATCATTTTTGCCTTGGCTTTCTTCCTTTCTAACCGAGTTCTGATTACTGAGTTCTGATTAGCTGAGTGGATGTGATCATGGTCTAAGTATTTCTAAATCAGTGGATCTGTTGCATCTTCAATTTCCATAGTTTCCTCGAATCAATGTTTGTTTTCATAGATTTCTCGTTTGAAGTAATTCTGTTATTGAATGATGTTGGGTTTATTTCTCATTTGTCTTGAAACACAGGAAAGTGATCGCTGAGTGAAAGTGGTGGGATATGGATAGAACTATAGAAGCAACATTTCTTTCAGATGAACAGTAAATATGATCAATGAGGGTTGGGGGTGATGTTGAATGTCTCATCTACATACCGAGTTTCCGTTCTAGTAGGCACTGTTACTAACTGCTTCGATCCAAGGTGACGAACTTTTTTAGAAAACGTCGTGCACGTAGATTTTGGTGATTGTAGATCAATGTTAAAATCTCCGAGTATGTATTTTTCTTTGTGTTCTGATGTCATTTTGTCCATAATTTCCAGTAGGCATGTATCATGGACACTGTCCGCGTTCAAAATTAAGATCGGTGATATAAAATGTGGTTTGATCTCGACACACATAGATAGACTCGACGTTTTAAGATCTCAAATCTATTCTTTGGATATACGATATCATTGTGGATATAAGTAGTAATGCTTCCTCCAGAAGTAGTAGTAGATCCGTCGAGTCTTACGAACGTATAGTTTGTGCAAGATGTCAGAATGACAGAACATGAATCGTATAGTTTTTTATTAGGAGCGCCTTAATTAATCTCATCAAGCTTAGTTCCACATTTAATGATACTACGAATGTTCAGGTGACCAATTATCAAGCCTTTAGTCTTTTTAGGCAGATCGAAACAACCGTTACCATCAGAGGGATTTGTTGGTCTAAGATTTAGTTCGATGTCATGAAGTATTTAGTTGTATTATTGATCTGAATGTTGCAGTGGTATAACTGTACAAAACAGTCAGCGCATGCGCTCTGTCAGCGTTTATTCTGGGATAATACTTTAGTGCTGTTGGGAGGTTGTCATAACGTAAATATAGTCTGCGACGAACCATGATATCTTTGACGTTTAAGGTTGATCTTCGGACATATCCTAGCAGTGACCTTAATCAAATGCGTGGAAAGACTTCAAAGACGCGCAACAAAGTACATCCTAAATCTGCCCTTCCGCTGTGACACAACCTACAACCAGAGACTTGCACTTTTAGACCTCCTTCCATTGTGCTACTGGCATGAATTTCTAGATATGGTAACCTTCCACAAATTAACGCATGGCATCATGACCATCATTGACAATAATTTAATACAGTCGTCACCCAATAACAACAGAAGAGAAACCAGGTCGTCTGATCCCAATCATCTGTCATTTACAACGGCACAATGCAAGACCACTACCTACCAAAGGTCATTTCTCAACCGAACAAAGAGACTATGGAACGTACTACCAAAAAGTTTGACAAGCAATAACATTAGTTTAGGACAATTCAAAAACTGACTTTCTAAGTATTATTTACAAGTTAGCGCTGGAAGATGTTT